TGTTCCGCAATAACATAACAGGTGCACCAACCTTTAATGTCAATGAATGATTAGGAAGTCCGGATAATCTCAACCTATTTAAGAATTCAGGAGTGTGTACTTCTAGTAGATTTTCACCATATGATTCTGCTTACACAAAGAGTCACAACTTAAATATGTTCGACCTTCTGCAGTGTTCATGTCGCGCATGTACTGATTAATTTTATTAACAACATCTAAAGTCAGTGAGAGAATCGCTCCGCTTTCTAGGTGCAGTGAGACTCATCAAGAATGCCATATCTCGCGCTTGGGAAGGTGCTTTCCACTATAGCTGATATTGGATCGGGTCCGCATTTCAACAAACACCGTTCTGGAATATTAATCTCATACGAACCGTCGTTTACGTAAGTTTGATCGAGATGATCAACTTACTTTAATCGAGAAGACTAATTGTGAGGTTAGCCGTTGAATTATTGATGGAATGACTTAAAGCCCAAGAGGTGATGAATTTGTGGTGGATCCCACTTTTGTGGTCAATGAAGCCATGGAAAGAATCACAAAGTAGTACATTAATTGGTTATTCCAATGATGTGTGTACTGGTGAGTTTGAGCTACAGCTCTTAATGAATTTATAACTCTATGAGACGGGTGGTTCTATCGAGACGGACTTAATGAATTCACCGCTTAATAATTGAGATGATGAGTATAAAATTCTCTTAATGATTTCATACCCTAATTTGGGTAGTCTATACTGAGATATACTTAACAAGATCACCTACTTGAGTGAAAAGGGTTAGCCGCCTTTTATGAAAGATAATGAGTTATCTTTCGAGAGCACTTATGAGCAACCTGAAATTCAGTTGGGCTAAATATATATGCAGTTTTTCGCGGAACTTACACAAGGTCTAAGGTGTGATGCGTGTCACTTTGGTTTAAACCTCGAGTCGAAGAGTTCAAGATTCGTTCACTCACTAGAGCAGAGGATACCATGTGTCACTACATGTCAGTTTAAGATTCGTTCACTAGCACTTAAGTGTCAAACTTTTATATGTCCCATAGTCTTCCTTTTCATTCCCTTACATTTGTGGGGATTGTTGGAAAAAAATGCTAAGACAAAATATTTTGTGGTTCTCAATCTCCTGGATGTTTTAGTCAATATTTAATATTCACCACAAGGTGATGAATGGCTAAGATCTAGTATGCGACCTTAATTATTTGTCCCTTACTATTTAAACAGGGTTATTTCTTGCGTTTGGGATAATCAAACAAGATTGTCTGGTCTATTTCTTCTGTCTCATTATTACTCTGAGTACGGTGTGTAACTTCCAATCCCTACTCTGGGTGCACAAAGACGAGGATTGCTATGTTAACCTTCGGGGGCGACACTGTTGTTATGAGCCTACACCGGTAGCGGCGAATTCACTTCTATGACAGTGGTTATACCACGGCACAACATTTCTTATATTTTCATATTATCAGTCTAATTTCTCCAACAGTTTTTTCTTTGAAAAATATTATCCCACAAAATTAAACTCAATCTCTCATTCAACACCTGACTTCTATGAAAATAATGGGTTCCAAGCATACCTTAGTCTCTTCAATGGCAGACTCTAGCGAATTAATGGCGGCCAAGCATCAGTTGTGGTTAGAGTAGATGTTCGTTGTTAGACATTAGTTTCGGACAATTATGGTCACTCGTCGTCAATCGCGGGTAGAGAAGAGAAGATCGTTTTATGAAATTAGGGATTTTCCACTTAACACAATGAAATTTTAAAATAAGGCAAAATAAATCAAACAAATATCCACGTAAAAGTTTATCTGCATCCAACTCAATTGTTATACAATGGACCATGGTCCATAGTGCTACGTGGATAAATTAAACTGTAGTAGAATTAAAATGATACTTTAGTGCTCATCAAAAAAAAAAATGATACTTTAGTGTTGCTAAAATGAAAATAGTGTGTGAAAAATAAAACTAAAAAACAGAGCTCATTCAACAACGTATATTGTCAAATGAAACTATAGTATAATTAAAATGATACTTTAATATTGTTAAAATGAAACTAGTGTGTGTGAAAAATGAAATTAAAATCCAGAGTCATACAATAACATATATTGTCAAATGAACATGGAGTGTAATTAAAATAATACGTTAGCATTATTATAATTAAAGTAGTGTGTGTGTGGAAATGAAACTACAAAATAGAACTCATACAATAATGTATATTGTTAAATGAAACTGTAGTAGAATTAAAATGATACTTTGGTATTGCTATAATGAAACTAGTGTGTAGAAAATGAAACTGAAAAACAGAACAATATTGGCTATGTTTGGCAAACCCTAGCTGAAAAGGTAGTTGAAAGCTTAAAATGAGCTGAAAGCTGAAAAGCTATAAGCTAGGAGCTGAAAATTGAAGAGCTATTAAGCTAGCTATTATGCTTGAAAGCATTTGTTAAAATTAGCTTTTTGATAAGTTGATAAATGTAAAAAGACAAAAAGAGCATCATCATAAAATTTAAATTAATTTGTTTACATATTAAAATTTTAACATTTCGTCTTCAAAAAAAAAAAATTAACATTTTGAAATAAAATTATTAGTATAATAATGATTTAGCATCCCAGAATGAAGTAGCAATATTGTTGCGAATCTCCTTCAATTCATATAATAATAATAATAATAATAATAATAATAATAATAGTAGTAGTAGTAGTAGTAGTAGTAGTAATAATAATAATAATAATAATAATAATAATAATAATAATAATAATAATAATAATTGCGGTGAAGTCGCAGATAAAGGAGAAGAGAAAAGAATTTTAATTGGAAAGGATAAAGGATGTCATTTCTTTAAAATAATAAGGACAAAGATGAAAAAAGAAGTTAGGAAGTTACTAGCTTATTTTGAAACGACCTAAAGTGTAATTAGAATGATAATTACTACATGAACTACACTACTACATGGACCATGGTCCACAATAAAATTTGTCCATCCAACTCAGGAGAAACATGCTAAAAATACTAGGTGAAAAAATTTGGAGGTATAATAGTTTAAGTAGACCATATTTTAATCCATAGTGTTGGATGAACAATCGTAGTTAGTACAAGGACTTATTTAACCCTTTTGTCTTTGTTTTTTTTTTTTTTTTTTTTTCACTTAAGGGACTCGATCAATTGCACTATTCTACGGAGAACATCTTTTCCTTTTCTAAATTATGTGTCAAAGTTATTTGTAAAATAGGTAGAAGTTTGATAGTCTGGTACTGGACTAGTGATAGTAGTTGGAAAACATAGGAGTGAAGGAGCAACTAACCCTTATCCAAATTAAAAGGACTGAAGCAAAAATCCCAACTCACTCACAGTCAGAGATAGAGTCTTAAGCTAGCTCAGCCTCTCCTCTCCTCTCCATGGCTTTCTCTTCTTCCTTCTCTTCATTCACATCACCATTCCCACGCACTATTAGGAAGAGATGTTCATTTACTCTTAGCCGCAGCAGCAGCAGCATACGCTTCATCGTCAAAGCTGAGGAATCTTCCCAACCACCTCAGACTCCTCAAAATGTTGCTGCTGCAGAGACAAAACCCGAAGCAGCAGCCTCCTCTGATGCCCCCCCTCCTCCTCCTCCTAAGCCAAAAAAACCTGTTTATTCCAGTCAGTTCCTTCTCTAATTTAATTTAAACTTGTATTGAGAAATGATGAATCTGGTTTCTTAATTTGTTTCTTGGCATGCAGTGAAGAAAGGGCAGATTGTGAGAGTGGATAAAGAGAAGTATCTCAACAGTATCAATGTAAGTTAGTTTATCATCAGATTGAGATTCATGCAATGCTCTCCATTTTGGACCGACCCATCATATCATTGCCAATGCTAACATATCAGTGGGCTGTGAATAATGTGATTGATATAAATAATTCCAGTATCTGTCTGTTGGGCATCCACCTTACTACAAAGGCCTGGAATACATATATGAAGATCGTGGCGAGGTTCATAACTCATACCCCATTCTGTTCCTTGGATTGCTCTCCTTTCATCACTTCATTTTGCTGTAACATTCTTGGTGTTAGGTGCTGGACATTCGGATATTCGAGACAGGGGAATATGCACTTGTGAGTACTGTACATCATATCTGTTATGTATATTACACACCTCAACAATAAAATAGAATTCATAACATTTTTCCAAGGTATGTATGGAGGGTTTACTTGATTGTACCCAAAAATAAAAAATAAAAAATAAAAAAAAGACAGACTTCCCCAGAATGAATGAATTCATTCATATATTCAAGTTTAAAATAGTCTATGACATTTCAATTCAAAATCATCTCATGGGACAATGTTGCTGCAGATTGGATGGGTTGGAGTACCAACTGCACCGGCTTGGCTTCCAACAGAGATTCTCATTAAGGTGAGTATGATTATTAGGATTCACATCAAGATTCCTGCGAAATTTCTTGCAAACACTGCTTCAGAAATTTTTGTTTAGAGACATGCTTTTGTTACAATTGATCATCAAAATGCTTTAGTATATGCACATATTGATCAATAAAAAAATTAAATTACAAAAACAAATATTTCAAGTTAAGAATATATATTGAACACTTGCCATTTTCCAGTCGGACAAGCTCAACTACGAGAGGATTTGATCAAGGTTCCAGAAGGCAAAGCAGGCTGCATCAAGTTATTCATCACAAAATCTTCAAGATTGAGAACACTTTATTATATCCATACCCATTACCCAGGCTAGATGAGTCAAAAGAAGCATTTTATGTATTGAGTAAAAAGCAAGGGATGAATGCATTGGATCATAAATGAATTGAAAACAATCAAATTCCTTCTTTCAAGGAGATTTGAAACAGAAAACTAGTGTAATTTCCAAAGAAGACCTGAACATTTGATCTTCAAGATTACTCTCCTCATTTAATATATGCTGTTCAAAACACTAGTCAATATGGTCTCAATGAATAGAAAGAAAATTATATTCACTCTCATGAACAATAGCAACTAAGCAAGATTGACAATTTCAAGTTCAAAGGAAATGCAATTGAAGAATTTGTATTCATGGACAATGTTTAAACCTGAATCCCACTGGAATATGGTCCATGTACTTGGAATAAATATTGGAAGAGGAAAAGACATATCATCTGTACATAACATGATAACAAATATAAAATAAAATAGATGTGTATAAATTGACCTATTGTAGTATTGTTACAGTAAAAAATCTTGGCTTGCAGGTTACAACAATGGTTTAGCAGTCTGCAGGAAAGAATGAAGGGTACAAGGATACCCTATACCATATGCATTTGCATTCCATGTGAGGTACTGTATGCTGTATGAGCTGCCTGTGATAAAGTACTTCCTTTGTTCTGTAAAAGGACAACAAATTTGGTACTGGAAACAGAATTGGGTGGATAAAGAACCAAATTGACACCACATTCATCTTAAGGGTTGAGGCTTATCATGTCGGGACACAGTTGAGAAGAGTATAAACGGCGGGCTAAACTACAAGACATTATAACTCATAACCACCTTCTTGCACGTTTATTAGCATTCATAAGTTCCACAAGTGATGGAAGTGGCTCAGGTACTGGTGCATTCATAGAGCGATAAAACTTTCTCAAGCTTGCACTAAAACTCTTTGAGGATCCATTAGAAGTAGCAGAAACACTTCCTTGGTGCTCATTTACTGTATCTATCAAGCTGCACTCTTCAAATTTATTTAACTCAATCCTCGTATCTACTGACATATGATTTGTGTCAACATTTGAACCTCTGTTTTCCTCCAAGTGACTCTTGTCCTCCTTTCCAACATTCTCTGAGGATCCATTAGGTGTACTGGAACCATTTCTTTGACGCTCCATTATTATGTTTGGAGCATTAGATTCTTTCACTTTATCTAACTCTATCTTCATTTCTACTGATATATGCTTTGTATAAGCAACCTTTGAACCTTTGCAGCCCTCCAAGTCACTCTTGCCATCCTCCTTAGTAACACGCTTCTGAAATACATTTCTTGCTGTCTTACCAGAATTATCTGGGTTATGTCCTTTATTGACTTCAAAAGTGAAAGCTGAATCTACAATCCCCTGTCTAGCTCTACCAAATAATGTAACAGGTAGCCTTTTCCTTGGAGGAGAAACATGCAACTGTCTCCTTGGTGATACTGCAGGTTGGGTCAAGAGCTCAATATTACTCTTAGAAGTAGTCTGAACCTGAAAACTTGGGACATCAGATGCAACAGAAGCTTCTTCTAGTTCAGTGCCTTGGGATGCACTCATGTCAATCTCCAGAAGTTTCCAAAAAGGATCATCCATAGCATGTTTACGGTTAAAGCAATGCTTCTTCACATAATCCAGTTCCATAGCCCTGCAACTAGGTGTTGTTGACACAACCCATCTGGGTGTAAGAAGTTGCAGAGCCCACTCCAGTTCTTCCCTGGAAGAGTGAATTGAATAACAAACATGCCAGACTCCAGACGAATCTCTCACGGCTTGATCAAATCTTTCCTTTTTTCGTGTTTCCATTTCAGAACACCCTTCATCATATGCATACCACTGTGATGAAGCGCGGATGATAAGAGGCTCGTGCTGGAAATTAGCCCGAGCTTCTGCAATCTTGGTTTCTGCTCTATCATACAGTCCAGGGAATCCATCAAACAATTGGAAACGAGAACACGGATCTTGAGAGAGAATTTCAGGAACCAAAAGTTCCAGAGCCTGGGAACATTCTGGATTTTTCTCTTTATCAATGTATATCTTACAACCAAATGCTCTGGAGATATTAACAAGGATCTCCTCTTGGCCAAGAAGATCACAGGTCAAATACACTGTTGGGGCATCAGGGTGCTTCCATATACAATTGATGACCTGTTTCATAGTCCATACATAAGTAATTAATAAGGCATAACATGAGCTTGAAACGAATGCAACAAGGATATAAAGTACAGAGTAATTGGCCCATCATGACGCTACACAAGGAAATAGCAAAAAGTTGGTGAGCAATGGAAAACTGACAATCAGTAGAGAATGGCACAGTTCTGCCAGGCATAGGCCATCTTCACCCATGAAATATTCTCACTTTCAAAAAGTTAGAGTTCAGAGAGAATTTTGCCAATATAACTACATTTTTTTTTTTGAAAGGATATAACTACATTTAATAAATAAATAACTAATTTTGTATTTGAAACATAAGGCCATTGCCAAATGTAAGTCGGGTCCTAAGTAAAGGCAGGGGTTAGATCTGCAGGGTGCTTGGCCTTGTTTTACCATCTTTTTAGTACAGGTGGGGATATTTCCTTGATTAAAAACTTGTTTCCAGTAACATCTGCAGTTTTCAGTTTGGAAATTGAAGCATGTAAATGGTGTACAATGTATTATACTATTATTATCGCACAAAGTGTGCCAATCATTCTGGTTTTCAGAAGATTGAAACTGCAACATAAAATAAGACAAAACAAGTAAAAACCATGAGATCTCAATAAAGTTGAAACAACAAAATACTCCAGGCATAATGACACCATGAAATCTTTAAAATTATTACCACACATTGACCTTCAACAGAACACTTAACAAGTATACCTGTTGGATCGCTGACTGCCTTGTGGGCATCCTCAATGGAAACTTACCAAAAGTGCAGTCCAGGAAAACACAATCAAGTGGACACCTAGACTCTCTTCCTCTCTTGCCTACATACTTCTCTGGTAACCTTTGCAAACATTCAGTTGTAAGTCTGCAATCCCCAGTATGCAATATGTTACCAAAACTTCCTTCAAATAAGAACATAAGAGCTCCTGAAAATTCAAAATTCAAAATTCAAAATTCAAAATAAATAAATAATAAAAATTGTGTCATAAAGTAGTCACCGGTCGACCTCATATTAATTACACACCAACAAATCAACAGTCTAACCAAGCAAATAGGAACATAATAGCTAAAGTAAAACAGTGTATGAAAGTTTTAAACAATCAGCTCCAGCTCCCTGAAATATATCAGGAGAGTTACAGTTACGAGTTTAAACACATTCAAGAATCAATCAAAATATAAAACTAAAGGGTTCGATTATTTGCAGGATAGGATACCCTTACCAGTACAATGATTGGCATCAAAGGCAGTGACAGTGAATCTGCCATGGGGATCCTCGATCTCCAAACTCTGCCCCACCTCAATATTCACAAAGACTGACCCATCAAGCTATTGAGTCAAGAATAATACAATTAGAAAATACAGAAGTAAGAACACAGTACATAGCAAAAGAGAAGAAAAAAAAAAAAAAAAAAAAAAAAAAACGGAATTGGAGACCTGAGGGTAATGTTGAAGAACGAGAGACTTGGTGAGAAGGGTACAGTAGATTGGATAAGAGGCGTAAGTGCAGATCGCTTGAGTGTGGTCTTTGTGGGCGTGCGTGAGGAAGTGGCTCCGCTTTCGGCTTGAATTTGGCGACCATGTGTCCACCGAGAACGGCAGTCCTTTCAGCATTTCGATCGTCATCTCTCCCTCTCTCTCAGGTTGTTTCTGAATCGGAGAGAGAGAGCGTGCAAGAAAGTAGAATAAATTGAGAAGGAGGGAGATTTGATCATTTGAGAATTGAGAGGGAACATGGTTGAAAATGGAGGAGGTCAGGAGGGTGGGAAAATTCCCAAACACGATTCCAAATTCCAAACATGATTTTCTTTCTCTTTTTCTTTTTTAAGGAAAGAAATTACTCTAGTCTATGTAATATCATATTAGTATTTTCATCCGTATGATGCACGGTCATAAATAATAATAATAATAATAATAATATAATTAAACAATATAACATAATAATAAAAATAAAGAAAATTTATATAGAGTAAATTATTTAATAACAATTAACATTGAAATTGTATTACACATTATTTAAAAAAAAATAATAATAATATACCACATTTTTAGTCGTACTCACAGATTGTCCTTTATCCTTACAAATCAAAAATTTTAATCCCCTTAGATTACTTACTCTTCAAGAAATTAAAATTTATACAATAATGCTAAATACAGTATAAAAAATATATGAATATAATTCATATTGTTTTTCAATTTAGAAAAAATTTAACCAATAAATAGATGATGGCAGATGATGAAAATCATATTTTGATAACCTATAATAATTCATTAGCTAAGAAACTGTGAAGTGTTGTTGTAATATTTATAATAAAAACTATATAATACAAATGAGATTGAAAACTAATTTCAATTTTCTTTGAAAATATATAATTCTATAAGTATAGGATCTTAAAATCTAGACATGACTTTCTATACTAACATTGGATATGGTGACCTTCATAAGGAAAATAATTTGTGCATATGTCCCAGCTTCAACATATTTTCATCCAATAATGTTTTTAAATTAATCACACACCTCAAACGTTTTATTTATTATGTGTATTCATCATTACTTTAGAAATATGAAATGTGTTGTAATTAGTCTGCTAAACATGTCTAATGTATACATGTGATTTGATAAACATGTCTAATGTATACATTTGATTTTCTATCCCATTGATTCAGTTTTTATCACTGTTAAGAATGTCGTCAAACCATTCTTAAGAGCATACTAATTTCATTATCCGAAACTTTATATTATTGTAGAAAAGTGTCTTCTTTAATTAAATGATGCTGTCATTTGTTCACAGATTCATCGCATAATCTACGCTTTAATCGAGAATATATATAATCTGCCAACTAAATTTGATAATATTGCGAACAAAACCGAGGAACCAACATATACCCTTAAAATATATAATACATATTAGTACTAAGAAACATGAAACTATATCTAAAACAATCAACTTAGAGACTTCTGATTCATTTCACCACACTTGTGGACCTAAAATTAAACTAATTGCTTTTACCTTCTAGTCCATGAAATAGCAGTAAAGACTGATAAAATAAAAAATGAATAAGGCATCAGTGAATACCAAAATAATGCAAAAATAAACATATATATAAAATCTATAAAACAGATAAAACAAACAATGAATCACGGGTACTCGGGTTAGACTTCCATTTGGAAGGTTGTAAGTTCGAGCCTCAGTGGAGGCGTTATTAGCTTTTTGTGTTTCAGTAGCTTGAGAAAGTATATGAACAGATACTACAATATAATAGAGCTAGTAGCATTCAAAAAAAAAAAAAAAAAAACAATGAATCACGCACAATATTAAGTCCATAAAAAAAATCATATATATTGCCTATAAAAAACCATAATGTATCCCGTGACCACAATATTATTAAAAACATAAAACTGAAACCATATCTACACCATCCACGGCACAATTGTCTACAAAGAACAACCACCTACATTCAAACAATTTAAATATTTAGAATCGTTTGAAAAATACAGTCTGTTCCAGTTTGCATACTATAACAGTATAACTACTATTCAATGTTTTCTTCTTGGAGCCTTGTGTGGAAGAAAATTCATCAAAGAGACATCTTTTCATTGCACAACATTCACTCTCGGTGGTCTCAGGAAAAAAAATACATATAGAAATCCAGAGGAGACTCTCACCTCTCTCACTCTCAGACTCTCACCTTTTTGCCTCTGCCTCTCTCACTCTCAGTCTGAGTCTCACCTTTTTGCCTCTGGCTCTCTCACTCTCAGTCTGAGTCTCACCTTTTTGCCTCTGCCTCTCTCACTCTCAGTCTGAGTCTCACCTCTGTCTCTCATACTCTCACCTTGACTGCCAGAAGTGAGACGCCCAGAACAGAGCGACCGGCGACCGCCAACGTCTCCACCGGCTCCCTCGTTCTAGCATATCAGCTCGTCTCTGTTCTCTTTCTCCCCGCGTCGTCTAACGCTCGCCGCCTTCTCGGATTCTTTGGCTCCTTTCCGTCGTTATTGAGTTCGGCTACCTCCACGCACTATTCATTCATTCATACATCTAAAGCTCGGCAAAATCTGAAGACCCAAATACCGCTATATATATTACTATCTAAAAATTTTAAAAGACTCATTGAAAACTGAAAAGACTCTTTGAAAATAACATGTGGTCATTATTTTTTCCTTGGAGATATAAAAAACTTATTAATAAATAGACTGTTTTCTAGAATATTCTTTCCTTAGTAAAGGATATCTGACAAATTTCTATCTCTATTTATCTATAAATAAATAAATTCTCTATTTATAAAAAAAAAATATGTTCACATTAGGCGGGAAAATGCTACTTTGTGATTGGCCAAGATGATATGGCTTTATTATATAGAAAGAAGATATGGTGTGTCATGTGCAATTGAATTACACATAAATGGCAGAAATATGCAAAGAGATTATGGTGTAGGAAGCGGTAGATTTGATCTTAGTTGTATTATGAACTTTTGATCTTGCTAGCGCTGGTTGATATTTAGTCGTGGTAATTTTTTCTCCCTACATGTTTCATGTGTTGTGAGATGTGTGTCATAGATATTTTAGTTGTATTATGAACTTTTGATCTTGCTAGCGCTGGTTGATATTTAGCCGTGGTAATTTTTTCTCCCTACATGTTTCATGTGTTGTGAGATGTGTGTCATAGATACTCATGTGTGTGCGCTTGCGTATGTTTTGTGTAAAAAAAAAATAAAATGATACTAATCTTTGAGTACCCATATTTTCACCCCAGTGCATGCAGTTAAATAGTTTGTCTTTGTGCATAACCCTTTTTTAAACCGTGACTACATTTTATATACCAAGTGTTTTTGTTGTCAATGTTGATGTTGATTTTGCCTTTAATCCAAACATGTTGAGTCTATAAAATTAAATGAATTGTAAATTTATATTAGTTCTAATATATTTATAGGATACACAATAAGTATTTTACATATAGGATCAACTACAACAATGGCTACATTTGAAATTTCTCCATTTTCTAGATTTGCAATATTGATTGCAGCATTATAACTACGTAAGATAATGATCTAATTACCATTTACATATTATTATCAACATAAAAGCATACTAGTCCTTTAGGTGTTATGCTCAAGGTACTTTTAGTTCAACCATTGTTGTTGAATGAGTTCTTGTGCATATAGAAATTCCTAGCTTATTTAAGAAATACTCTACAAATCTATCTATCTATCTATACTATATATAAAAAACAAAATTCTGAACTTTAACATCTCACCCAATTTCTAAAAAATCTTTCTGTCTAATAAAATATATTGTTTTCTAATTTCCTATTCGTACTATAATCCTATGTTAAAATTCATATTCTAATATTATAAAATAGTGTAATACAATTCCTAATAGAATATATTGTTTCCTACTTTCCTATTCTTACTATAATTAAAAGTAAATCCTCAGTCTAGCATTTTCTCGCCCAAACTCATTGTATTGGTCAAATTATTTAATTATGGTAAACTATGGAATAATTAATGATGGTAATAGAAATGTTAGAAGAATATAGAATACAAGAATATTTAATTATAGTTATATTATTATTGTGCCTCACGGGATAGAATACAAGAATATATAATTATGATTATATTGTTATTGTGTCTCAGGGTCATTATATACTAATATAATAGAACTTAACACGAAAATAATAATAATATAATAATAATATTTAAAAGTAATCAACTGTTAATAATAATAATAATAATAATAATAATAATAATAATAATAATAATAATAATAATAATAATAATAATCCAAACAAAACTACATACAAAATAAAATTAAGATTATGAAAAATAAGACAAAGGGCTCCCATTTGTAAATGATTTGAGATTATTTTGATTTGAAAATATATAGAAAGATGAGCTCTTGAGATCCTCTATATAAGAGGAGCAATGCTCATATTCCAAACATAATTGCGAGTCAAAAGGCTCTTATTTAAGAAATCTTAGTTTAATAACTTTTTATTTTAGTTTTTTTTTTAAAATATTTATTTATTATGGGTGTTTGGGAAATATTAACCCAAAATGTATATGTGTTGTTTTAGTTTTTAGCAGTTTGGAGAAAATTGTTAAGTTATTGAATAATTTTTTGGTGTTTTAATTAAAAACAAAATGTTAAAATGACGAATTTGATAAAATTTTGACGAATTTATCAATAATCAAACAAGACTATTATCTAATAATTATTATGACATTTAAAAAATTAATTGTATAGATATTAAAGTTCGTTTGGAAAGTACGAAAATGATTTCTGGAAAATGAGTTATTATTTAGAAAATATTTTTTCTTTTTAATGTTCGGCTGCACAGTAGAAAATTGTCTAAAAGAAAATTTATATTATTATTATTATTATTATTATTATTATTATTATTATTATTATTATGTAATAATGTAATAATAAAATAAAATTAGAATAAAAAATAATATTAATAATATAATAATTAATCAAAACAAAACTATATATAAAATAAAAGTTAAATTTAAAAAAAAAATCAAAAAAAAGAGAGGGTGCAACGGGCCCCGCTTTGTAAATGATGTGGGATCATTTTGATCCACATCGAAAATGTTTGGAAAGAGGAGTTCTTGAGCTCCTCTATATAAGAAGGGCAATGCTCATCTTCCAAACAGAATTGCTTACCCATCAAAGTTATTAAATAATATTTTTGGTGTTTTGATTAAAAATAAAATGTTAAAATGATGTATTTGTCAAAATTTTGGTGAATTTGTCAATAATGGAACAAGGCTATTATCTAATAATTATTAT